TCAAGGTGACCGTTTGTCACCTTGACACGCCTGTGCAGTCCCAAAATGTAGGTATAAAAGTTGCACAAGAACATTTTTTCTGCATCTCCAAGGAACTTGTGTGCTGGCATGTTTGTTTGGTCACGCTTATTTTTACAATTCACGGAAGTTCCAGGTAAGCATGGGTTAGGAAATGCAAAAACTTTACATTTGTTCTTTTAACTTTCAACTGTCCATACAACAATTAAACTTTTACCCAGCATTAAAAAAGAACAAGTGTTAAAGAGGAACTAAACCCTCCTTTCGTTTTCAGCCAAGGAAGCTGCCATCTTAGCCTCTGCTTGATCTTCTGAACTGCCATGTGATCAGTTATGACACCAGCCATTTGATGGTTTGACAGTTGAGAGCACAAGGAAATGTGACAGTTACATTCCTGACATGTGTCGGCAATATAACAGTTTTTTGAAACTGCTAAATTGATAGGTTTAGTTCGGCTTTAAAGCCCAACTGAACTTTCAGTTTGAATTAGTGAAATACATTCCAGGTGCATAAAAAGGAAAGGTGTGCAAACTCTTACAGTTATTTTTTTGTAAATCATCCAGAGTAGAAAAGCCTGCCAGCATACTGCAGAGTGGGACCCATGCTCTCTGCGGGGAAGCAGTGATCTCTTTGCAGAGGTCCAGTGCTTCCCGTTAAGTCAGAGCTCTCCAGTGGAGATTATGAGTTTTATGGATTGCAGAGCTATAGGTCTGATTCAGTAAGGGGTGAGTCGAACTTCTGCAATCAGAGCACTTTTCCACTCAGACTATAGCTGCTTTAGACAGAAAACTAACTGTAAGACATTGTACACCTTTTGTTTTGATGCACATTTAATGTATTTAGCTTATTAAAATGAAGGTTTAATTGGTCTTTAAGGGAGCTTGATGTTGATTGATATTAGGTGCTTTTCATTTGCCTGCCTGCATTTAGGCTAAGACCTTCTCTCTTATAGTTCCATTGAGAAGGCCATTTGGCTGCAGTCCTTGGAGAAAAAGCACGTTCACCCCAGCCCCACCTATATATAATTAAATTAATGCAGAATTCCCGAATTCTTCCATATTTATCCAAGAACTAAATGTCATGGCTTTATATATGGAGGGGGACAGTAGAAGAATATTGTACAACTCCTGCCAACCAATGCCTCCACTACAGCCTAGAAGCCAGAGGATACTTTAAACACAACTGTTCTGAGAGAATTACATATGTCGCCATTTCTCACCTTCTTTTTGAAAATGCGATTTGTCTGGTTAGTACCGCCTGGTTTCAATATCTACTGAGTTCCAGGACCAGAACAAGTATGCAACAAGTGAAGTAAGAACACCCAGTTCAGTGACTCAAAGTATTGAAGCCAACTGATAGGCAGCTAATTAATTTTAGATAGAAGCAATAGCGATGGCAACCCACATATTTAACTCAGTACAGGTTCCCTTCCACAATAATAACCTAGAATGCGTATTCAAAAGCAACTTGCAACAGAACACTTAGATTTACAACAATCCAGTAAGTACAAAATATAATTTTTGCCTCAGGCTAGCTTCATGTTGCAGTACCCACAATGCACAATTATGCACCATGCAACGCACTTGCATTGCAGCTCAACACAGGTTTAGTATAAAACTTTTGAAGCTTTACAAAGAGAAATAAAAAAAGTGATAGTGGTAGCAACCTATGGTGAGCCAGCATATAGGTTTGCAAAAACAAAGGGATTTGTATGTATGTAATAGCAAAAATTCATATTTAGTTTCAGGACATCAAATCAGTGGAATATTGCTGGGGGTCTCTTGATGAATTCAAAAGCATTCACATGCCAAAAGGTGAAAGAAAAAACCCTTGTTGAATTATTTTTTAACTAACTTCAGATCTCAAAGAACTACCAGTCGGTGTACATTTCTGGACACCCCTTCTTGGACCCAGTAATTTTATTGGTAGATCACTGCACAATAAATGAATGATAGTACCCCAATTCAGAGTTGGGAGGTGGTAACAATGCATGATATAAGTGGCCCCAGATTAAAAGCTTTTTCACCCAAAAGGGATCATATTACTGTTTAACCTGTTTTTCCATTTTTATTCAATGTGGACCTCTTTGGTTTTGCCCATTTTAAATATGACTACATATATATTTATATATATATATATATTGCTTTAGTCAATCCGATCTGGATTATCTTTTTTTATCCAGCAGGCAAGGGGTTAAAGGTAGTAGTCTTGAGTACTGTGATTACTCATGAATTCTAAACTTAGATGTCTAATGGATCCCCTTATTAACTGCGCCCTCCTCTAAATTCAATATTGAATTAACTTACAGCATAGCCATTTTTGTCTATACATAGCACTTTTCCAACTACAAAATCGATCCTTACTTTTAATGCACACTTTAAAGTATATATGATAATAATGAGGCATACAGGCCTGGATATCTGAAACCCTCCACATACACCTTATAATCCAGATCTATTAGCAGTTTAACAAGGAAAAATTATAAGCAGGCAACGGTGAACGTTTGGTTTTCTATATTATATTTTAAGCCCCAATAAATAAATACACAAAAGTAGATGCAACCACCTGTCGTGAAAGGCTAATCTAATGTTCTGTTCCCATGTATGCTTCCTAGTCAGCAGGGTGTAATAAATATTGCTATTCCTGCTCATTCAGAGTATAGGTATTAGATTCAGCTCTATTATTATGGTAAAGTACCAGTTGTCAATAGATATGGCTGCCAAATCATCTGATATGTACAACGCCTATTTCTCAGTACCCATACATCGCTTCTTTAGTGTAATGTTACAAAAGACAGAACTGAATTCATCCATTTAGCGAACCATTTGTTTTGTATCTGACCTTACAATGCTCTTTGGTCCTGTACATTTTTGCCACATAATCTAACATTGCACAAGGTACCAGCACATGACCTTTGTAAATTCGTCACCGACCTTTGCAAATGTTACATAACAATTAAAATGTTTATTTTTGGCCCCATAACTAAACGAAATTGGCAAAGCTGTAGTAAAAATAATGCAACTGCATAAGAAAGTAAAATCTGTACTTACTATCACACATATAATGGATTAAATCTAAAGTTATTGCAGTGTGCTGAACTCATTGATATGGCTGTAAATAAATGTGGACAGTACATTTTTTTTCTTGCAGGCTTTATAGTTTGCTATCGCAGGTAATAGACTGATCATTGAAGGTACTTCTGTAGAATCCATGTAGGTTGTTCGATCTTTTGTGTTTTCTCAAGTTAGAGATTTTGTGATATATCTTCGGTGTCTTTTATTTAAGAAAACACTGACACAAAACAGTAATGACAACACAGCATCGACCCCATTACCATCCTGCATAGTTCACTTAGAAGTTTTTTTTAAAAAAGCTTCCATAAATATGTATGGCATCTATAAATAATGGTTCTGTTACTGATACTGCCAACTTTCTAGACAGAAGAATGTGCCCTATCAGATACCCCAAAATCAATTACGTTAATGCTCCGTGTCGTTACTATGCCTTCAAAGATTTACATAAAGCACTAAACAGACACTGTTTAGCTTTGGCTAAATGCACAGAATTGTTGTTCCATTGCATGTTTACCAACTTTTAAAGACCTTGATACTAAGGGCCGGTTCTCACGACAATTTATGCATTCTAGATGTGCTTCTGCATGTGCGTTTTTGATGCATTCTGGTGCATTTCTGATGTGTTTGAGTGCATTTCCCCCCTTCCTTTTTTTTTCTTCATATCAATTAAAGACATGCATTCTGGTGCATTATACCACATTTCAGATGAGTTCCGTACAGAAAAAATGCAGCATGTTCTACTTTTGTTGACTGCACTGGTGTGAACTAGGGCCATTGGAATCCATGTTAAACACTGTCCATGCATTTTTGAAGCAGAATAATGCACTGGACTGCATTTAGTGTGAACCGGCCCTGAATGTGTTTTGTAGCTGGTGACAGCACAAGGAGGACAACACTTTAAACTTTATCCAACACATTTATAGTATTCAGGCACTGCCACTGAGCAGGTCTTGCAGATGTAAATTATTCCAACCAGTTTCATAGAGACAGAAAGTCACCTGAGATCTGCTGATAAAAAGAACGTATCAGATTTTACAATGTTCTATAACACCTCATGGGGACTTTTATTGTGGCAATAACTGGTACACTGTGCAAGAGCTTTCACTCTTTCTAATGTATTCAGTTTTAGAAGTGCAGATGCTTTAGAGTGTAGGGTGGAGTTACCATTAAAACTTCTATATATGACTTCAAGTTTGAGGATTCCTTTACCATATACATCCTAGAATTATTCCAAGTTCCTGTATTTACAGTGTATCAGTCTGCTCCACCATGACACCTGTGGCCTGGAACACTGTCTGTCCACCCAGCAGCAAAATATTTAACCAATGAACTCTCTATGCATCTCTTCTTACAGACAACCAAAACATTTTTGGATTCCATCTCTTACATATGGTAAGCATATACTTCTCCTAAAAAAATATGAAAGAAATGGAAGAGGCACTAAAATTTTCCCAATTTTACCATCCAAACAGCAGCACAGACAAAGGCCACGATTACCGAAAGACTGTGGCAGTGCTTTGAAAAGAAAAAGAAGAGTGAAAAGTAAACTGAGAGCTAGTTAATCACCAAGACACAGACATGTCTCACTAATTAAATGATTTTCAAGTGTGTGTTAAAAACTACCTTCCAACCCCTGAGTAGAATCCCGAGAAATAGAGTCTTTAGCTTTGTTCCTACAAACAGAGCTAGAAGCACTTTAACAAACATTATCTTGGACCAAGATGATGTAAACGTGTAAAAAGTTTAAAGGTTAAAGCAGTCTTGTAAACATTAACTGCAGGATGACCCAGTGTTCATTGGGTAGGTCTCCGTTATCCTTCATTGAGTGTTGACTGTACAGAGTTACTCATTGCAGCAGGTTTCAGGCTGGCTTCAGCCAATGTAATCTTCATTTCTTGACTTTTCACTTTATACACTAAGGATGTTGTTCATTTCCCACTTCTGGGATGATTTGCTGGAGTCACAGTCTGACAAGAACACTTGGTGAAGAACCTCCGAGCGATCCAGGCATTTTCCGGTAGGGATATGGGTAAATCTGTGTATGTTCTACAGGAGGGAAAAGAGACATTAAAGCAAATCCCAAACATTTGCTTTATATTAGAAAAAATCTTTCCTAACACCAGGTTATTGTCTGGCAGAGAAAGAAAGGAAGACCTGTCTTCTGAAATGAACTCACCTCTATCTGTATATGTGACATCCTGAGTCAGTTTTGCCAGGACTGGTGCATACGTGTGCTTATAGAATAGTACCACTTTTTTTTTACTGTAACTAAGATCAAACTACAATTTCTAAAAAATATTTTTGCCCTCATATTCCTCTAATAAATAAAAAGCCAATAAAAAAGTGCTTTATACTTCTGAAGCACTGCATTCTGGGAGGTTACATTCTCCCCATATCCAGTAGGATCAGGTATTTTTTGAAAGCGCAATAATCAGTCACTAGCTCACAACGATCACAATGACCAATTACAGTGATCACAAATGTAATCGCATACATGTGTTTATATTGGACAGCCCTCTCCTTCCTCTTACAATGGAGGAAGGGGAATCATTATATAATTACTACAATTACAAATAAGTTGGAATGCTGTCTAAAATCTACATAAAAACAGAATGCAATGATTTGCAAGTCTCATAAACCCATATTTCATTTACAATGGAAAATAGAAAACATATGAAATGTTAGAACTGAGAAAATAAAATTTAAAGAAAAGAAATAAGGTAATTTTGAAATTGATGGGCGCAACACATCTCTAAAAAGTTAGGACAGGGCCATGTTTACCACAGTGTAGCACTCCCTCTTCTTTTAACAACACTAAACATCTGGGAACTGAGGAGATCAGTTGATGGAGTTTTGGTAGAGGAATGTTTCTCCATTCTTGCCTGATATAGGATTAACTGCTAACTGTAACTGCTCCTTTGTCGTATTCTTCCTTTCAAGATGCACCAAATATTTTCAATTGGTGAAAGGTTTGGGCTGTAGGCAGGCCAGTTAACCACCTGGACTCTTCTACTACAAATCCATGCTGTTGTCATAGATGCAGTATGTGGTTTAGCAGTATCACGCTGAAATATACAAGTCCTTCTCTGAAAAAGATGTCCTCTGGAGTGGAACATATGCTGCTCTAAAACCTGGATATATCTTGATGCATTGATGGGGCATTTCCAGATGTGCAAGCTGTCCATTCCATATGCACGAATGCACCCTCATACCATCAGAGATTCTTCCTTTCAAGATGCACCAAATATTTTCAATTGGTGAAAGGTTTGGGCTGTAGGCAGGCCAGTTAACCACCTGGACTCTTCTACTACAAATCCATGCTGTTGTCATAGATGCAGTATGTGGTTTAGCAGTATCACGCTGAAATATACAAGTCCTTCTCTGAAAAAGATGTCCTCTGGAGTGGAACATATGCTGCTCTAAAACCTGGATATATCTTGATGCATTGATGGGGCATTTCCAGATGTGCAAGCTGTCCATTCCATATGCACGAATGCACCCTCATACCATCAGAGATGCAGGCTTTTGAACAGAGCACTAATAACAAACTGGAAGGCCCCTCTCTTCCTTAATCCAGAAGACACGGAACCTATGGTTGCCAAAAGGAAAGTCAAACTTCATCTCACCATAGACCAGTTTTTGACTTTGCAACAGACCATTCTAAATGAGCTTTGGCCCAGAAAATATGGTAGCGTTTTTGGATCATGTTCAAATATGACTTTTTCTTTGCATGATAGAGCTTTAACTTGCATTTTTGGATTGGATTGCATACTGTGTTCACAGTGATTTTTGGAGGTATGCAGTGATGTCATAACAGAACCATGCCTGTTTTTAATACAGTACCATTTGAGGCCTTGACCCTTGTGCACTGAAAATTTCTCCAGATTCTCATAATCTTTTGATATTATGTACTGTAGATGATGATGAATTTAAAGTCTTTGACATTTTATATTGAGTCACATTATTCTGAAATTGTGAAAAGCACTCTAAAATTTGTCGAACATATTGGTGAACCTCTGCCAGTCTTTACTTCTGAGACACCCTGACCCTCTGGGATGCTCTTTTTATACCCAATCCTGTTACTGACATGTTTGTCAATTAACCTAATTAGCTGCAAACTGTTCCTCCAGCTCTTCCTTGTTAGTACCATTTACTTTACTTTTGTTGCCCTGTCTCAACATTTTTGAGATGTGTTGGTACCGTTAATGTCAAAATTACCTTATTTTTTTTCTCAGTTTAAACATTTCATATGTTTTCTATTGTGATTAAAATATGGGTTTATGAGATTTGAAAATCATTGCATCCTGTTTCTATGTAGATTTTACACAGCGTTCCAACATTTTTTTTTTTAATTGTGGTCGTAGAAGATGACAGGCAGCAGCAGACTGTAGAGGTCTTTACTAGATTGTGGGACCAGTTTTAACCCTTTCACCAACATCCTTCTACTGTACATCTCAGCTCCATCCTGTCCCTGAATGTGACCATATATTAACGTATGTACCCTATACATTAACCCCTTTACCTTGTCCTTCTCTTGTATATGATCTGATGCGTTGTATCTTGTGCAACATTACCAAGCTCCATGCTTTAACAACATCAATAGCAGCAGGTTTGTTTATCTCCAAAAAAAAGCTGTGTCAAAAAATGAGATAACCTAGGGGTATTTACTTCACGAAAATGGGATAATTTCAGGGGTGTTTGTACTGTTCTGACACTGACAACTGGCCTGGTAATGAATGGGGTATTTACAGGCTAATACTGAAGTGGTTAAAATGCTGCTGAAAACTTTCAATATACATTTTACTAAGCAGTCCAGGATCTGATGCCCTCTCTATTGAAAAAAAAAAAAAAAACACTTCTAATATATAATAGACAGAGGAACCGAACCTCTAATTGAATCTCATTTGTTCACCTGCAAAAATCTGAAGAGGGTGAATAGTCACAAACAAGCTTTAACATTGTAAATTCTACACATGGTACCTAACAGTTAAAGCAATGGAGATTCCAAAAACACCAAAATTCCATTCACACTTGTACATTGCTATAACACACATTTAAACATGCAGTTCATCTGCTATATGTGAGGTGAGTTGCTGTGCTATTCACTGTGAATAGATCCCCAATGCACCGTGCAGTACATTACAATGCACCGTAATGCACATATAAAAAAAAAAGATCTGTGTGTTTTTTTTTCATCTGTCGAATAGGTTTCATTAACACAGCACACTAGCATGTGAAGGCATGTTAATGTGCCACAACAGATCAGTAAAGTGAGAATCTGCGCTAATTGTGTTCTGTTTATCGCAGAAAGGATTGTATCAGAGCTATGTAATGTGGTCATTTTTTTTTATGCCTTTATTGTTTTATGTAGTGGACAGCCAAACCTAGGCTGGTGGACAATGTCACCTGTAGACTATATTTAATTCATAAATATTGCAAATTAAATTTATTATAGAAATGCGTAATGTGCACTTTGTAAATATAAACAGACTTCCGGACATACCTTGAAGTATTGCCACTCTTTGTATTCATTTAAATTACAGTGTGTAATCATAACTTTCGATCCATCTGGCCCTTTACTGAGACACTGGTCATACTGCATGAATTGATTAGCTTCATTAATTCGGAAAAGCTAGCAAAATAAAAAAACATTGCCTAATTAACAAGAATGCATAAAACTGCTATTAAACCACAAATTGCTTATTGGTTGCCTTTCATAACCATTTTCTAAAGATTTATATGCCTTATAATATATTTAAGAGAGAAAATGTCAGGAAACCCTTGAAGCCCAACTCCAGGTTCAGCTCCCCAGTTCTCTCCCCTTCCTCCTAGGAATACCTCCCTCTGTTGTATGTGTCCCGTTTTTATTCATTAAACGTATAGTTTTCTGTATTAATCAGGCTGGTCATGTAACACACAGGGTCTTCTTTAGATTTACTTTTTGCATTGGGTGGTCTTGGTTGATGCTGACAGCAAAGATGACATCACCTTTGCATCACTATATTGTGAATGAAAGGTGTAGTGGTGATGCCCCCTCAGTGGTGTGGAAAAAGCTACTGGTACCAGGCTGGTGTTTTCAAATGGGGGCCATTCCCTTTAAACGTCCCCCTCTTAAGGAACCCAACAATATTTTTAGCAATACAGGCTGTAACCTACATAGTAACAGACCTAATTCTGTATCCCAACACACAAAACCCCCATCTATTCCACAGTCCATTATGAAAGTACCCCACTAGTAATCCCCTCATTTGGCAATGGAGAATAACCGGTGTAAGGGAGCTGGGGCAAAAGGACCATATAGTATGCGTTTAAGCTGCCCTAAGAGAAACAAGTCTGCTTTTCCCCTGGGCAGAAACTTACATTCCAACTCTCTTGGCCACACATATCCCTGGAGTAGGCAATTCCTAAGCTACCAACTCTGCACTCCCCAGATCTTTCCATTTATGTCTCCCCATTGATGAAGATCCTTTCTCAAATGCAGTGCAAGATACAGAAGGATAGAGTCTTAGGAATTCTCATCACACCAAACTGGCCCAGAAGGAAGTGGTATACAGGCATACTCTAACTTCTATCAGATGAGCCTTGGCCTCTTCTAACCAGACCAGATTTACTGGCCTGAGGACCCCTATTCCAACCTGCTTCTCAACTGCTAGCTTTAATCGCATGGCTTTTGAAATCCAAGTCCCAAAGATAGGGCTATTTCTGACTCCCACTTTACTCAGAGCAAGACTCCCATAAGATTTTCCATTGCTTATTTTTCTTGGTGCAAAGGCAGACAATTGACCACTAGAGAGTACTCCATCACTTGTACTTTGGCCTTTTAGTCTGGTCTGAACCCCCGTCTAGCTCTGTGTACCTTCTACCTAATCCATTCTCTACCAGAAGCTTCTTGCCTTGCAATCTACAAGACTTTTTTCAGGGAGTTGCTCATATAAATCCCTCACTTCTTCCTACTGTGTCACCTTGGGATCTCTATCTCATGTTCTCTGTCCTTCAGAGATCCCCTTCTGTACTGATTAGAGACATTCCTTTGGAAGACAACACTTGTAAAGTTGCCTTCCTGGTTGCCATTACATCTGAATTGTTTCTGAATTGGTAGCTTTCGTGTAAAGAGTATTTTCTTGTTTTGCACAGGGACACGGTGGTTTTGAGGCTCAATACCTTCCTTTTACCTAAGATGGTCCATTTTTTCCTACCCCAGTGAGGACATGCTCTCCCTTTCCTCTGTCCCACTTGAAGACATGACAAGGAAATAGCCTTACATTGCCTGATGTGGCCAGGCCTGTTAGGTACACATGGCAGACACAGCCTCTCTTTGCAAGAGTCCCACTTTGTTCTGCTTGGAGGTCCTCATAAAGTATATTTTATTTCCTGATCCACCATTGCCAGGTAGATCAAACTACTTTTTTCCAGGGCCTATGCCCTTAAGTAAAGGGTTCCTCCCTACCACATCAAAGTGCATTCCACCAGGACTGCTGGTGTCTCTTTAGCTTTTCAGCAACAAGCATCTTTATACCATATTTGAAAGGCTGCTATCTTGTCCTCTGTTCACAAATTCTCTAGGTTCTACCAGGTAGATATTCAGGCCTTGACTGATGCAAGCTTCATCTGCAATGTGCTTAGAGCTGCATCTCAGTGTTTGCAGGTTCTTTAACCACTTGCCATCCTCCCTATAACAGAAGTACTGCTGCAGGGCGCCAAATTACGTATATATAAGCGATTTGCATTTCCAGTTAGGGGGCGCGCACACCACCCTACCCACGCCGCTATTGGCAGCTGGGGATGTCAATCACCAGGTCCTGGACGGAGATTCCTGGCTGCCACTCGGTGACTGTCAGCAAAGCTGACATTGGAGAGACCTGTGAGTAAACAACACAGGTCTCTCTCCTGTCAGCATGGACATGCTGCTTTGTATCTCTCTGCACAGTAGAGAGATACAAAGCAGCATGTCTCCTGAGTAAAACAGCACACAATGTAAAACTCACACCTGCATGATAGTTTATCTGTCATTTAACATTTCTATAATTATTTAACATATATTATGACCTATTAGCATCACAATTTACTGCTGCAAGAAATAATGCAGATATTATGGTTAATATTGGTAGCCATACCTGTATCGACTTAAATTTAGCTCACCTGGTTTCCACCCATTCTGTGACAGGCTCCAATTTCCACAATTCCTCCATTAGTGTGCCCCATGCTGTCTATGCAGTAATTGGTATCCAAACCTCGCACCTTAAAAAATATTTACTTACATTTATCATCAAGTCACCACCACGATCATAACAAATAATATTTTCTTATACTAATGACAACTTACACTGTATATGAAGAGTTAAGTTTGCTTATTTGCATTTCTCTTGTGTTTTTTTTGTGAGACTTAAATGACCAAAATGAACAAAAACGTATTGTACAGGAAGTTATAATTACACGTAATTTACATAGTGCCAACAACTGGTGCTGCAATTGAAGGCAAAAGGATAAGGAGGGTCCTGCCCATGAGAGCTTGCAATCAAAAGATAATAACTGTGAGCGATAAGTTGATGGAGAAAGTGGAAGCACGGTTTTTAGGTGGAGGTGGGAAAGGCTGCCCCTAAGAAATGAGTTTTCAGGGATTTTATAAAAAGGTAGGCAAAGTAGAAGAAACTGATATAAAACTTTCCAGGGGATGTGAGAGGCTCTGGAGAAATCCTGGAATTATATATATTGCTATCATTTAAAGTTATGTGCTTAACCTGTCCTATAAATAAGCCCTTGTAAGCACACTCAAATTGAAAACGTAGGTTGATTTTAGACAATTAGGAATGGTGGGTAGGGTCATTAGCATCAGCATAAACTTACCTGTTCATAGTAACAAAGAAATTATGAAGCCATCAAGTTCTGGGTCATGTGCTTAATCCTGATGCAGCTATGCACAGTGCAGAAGTGCTGCAGGTCAAGGTCATGTGACACAGAAACAAAATAATGCAGAATACCATTGCTAGGGTGTGCAAGTAAGTTTAGTCTGACTTATAACCCCTACTCATTTTTTTCTTATGCATCTTTAATTGTTTGGTGTGCCTAAAACTCATTTAGGTAATCTTTAAAGTCAGGTGGTACAGCCGCTGTGATTACGCTGTTTTTAGCTTTAAATATGCAATGGTGTCTAAGATAATGGTTTTTAAATTCATATGATTTAATTGAACAGCAATAAAATACAAGTGACAGTTTGTATGTATACAATATGAATATATGTTAAAATAACACAAGATATGACTGTTGCAGTCTGCTTTAGATGATGCGGTACACATTATTGTCTCCTGTAAAACTACATGTCCCAGCATTCTCGGCCAGTCTCAGGACATGCCAGGGCTCAGAGTTCCACAGCAGCTTAGCCAAGACTGCTTTAAGAAAGAACACCTGGAACAATATATAGAAATTTTGAGCAGAAATGCTCCACTAGAGGTCAGAGCTGGAAAGGTCTGTAGCAGGAATAACTGTAAAAGACTAAATACATAAAAATAAAAAAAAAAACAAAATCCCCCAAAAAGTCTGCAGATATCACACGATTCACAGTCCCATTAATGTCCAAGGTTATATATGCAGAATGTGCAGTGCGCACACACCCCAAGTAACATGTTAAGCAGAATGGTCTGCAGAGAAATGCCAAGTACATTGCATCAATAAGAAATGTGCCTTCCATGTGACGGGAGTGCTCCACTCACATTTATACATAGGCAAAGACCTGGGAATGTGTCATGTGTAAAGTGCCTACTGCCCTTAAAGTGTTACTAAACCCACAACAGTAAAATCAGTCTGTATATGCAGTAAAGCATGCTTGTTATACTCACTGTGGAACCTAAGGGGTTAATCCGCAGCACTGTGTAAAAAGGATGTTTGATCCTGTCTTCACTGATCCTCCCCTTCGTCTACTGTCCCCAATCCATCTGCTGATAGAACAGAGCCTTGGGGCAAGCTGCACATGCTCAGTTTGGTGTGTATTGATAGACTTTTTTCTTTTCTAGGGAGAGTGCATGCGATCAACACAGAGCCAATCAGTGCTATCCAGACAGAGGGTCAGGGATTATGCAGTCTATGAAAAATCCTTCTACAAGCTTTAACCAGTGCTTTGCTGGACACTGATAGAAGTCACAAGCTGATGAGAAAAGGTATTTAGCAGTTTATATTTACTAACATAATTGCATTTCTATGTTTTGTGTACTGCGGGAGACCAGATATAGTGAATGCAGGGTCCTGGGTTTAGTAACACTTTAAGCCCATCTCCATCCAAAACTTTTTATTGTTTTCTTTTTTCAGGAGTGGGGAAGAGGTACAGAATCTGTGGGCTTTATATTGCAATCTGCTTACCTACAGGGGAGATTTCCATTCACTTCCTGCCATGACAGAAGTAATGGGTAATCATTCCAACAAACAAAAGAAAAACACATTTTTAGTGGGGAAGACAAAAATACTCTATACGACCAAAAGTTTGTGTACACCAGACCATTGCACCTAGATTAGAGATTGCTTGATAACCCATTCCAATATCATGGGAATTAATACATTTATAAATATATTTATATACTTTATTTGCTATAAATGTTTTGTTGAAAAAACCTTCCCACACCGCTACAGAAACCGTCTTTCTGTGCATAGCCTTCTGATTTAAATTCCTTGCAGTATAGGCAAAGAAATAAAGATGGATCGTAGTTTTCTTGCATAGAGCAGAAGTCAGCTCTGTGCTAGAAAATATATTCCCCCATTCTATCACCTTACTCAGAGATTTTCAATTTTGAGGTACTTTGTATCTAAGTACAGTGTCAGATTCTTGTAGAGAGTCCTTATTATAGGCCCTAACACAGATTTTGTGTTTATGCTAACTAGCGTCAACCGACAAATGTACATTTTGCTAGAAAAACCAATCATCTTGGTCTACACTGTACACTCCACCTCCAAAAACAGCTTGTTCTTTTAAGATACCAACCAAAAATGAGGTCAAACGTGAAAGGCAGTATTACAAAAAAAAAAAAATAATTCTGCAGCTGCCTTGCCCAAACAAGTTATGATATACAGTAAATGCTTGTGATCCACTGACTAGAACATACAATATAATTATGTCACTTATAGGTGGGAAGACAGATAATTTGAGTAAAAAAAAAAAAATGGTCTAGTTCCATAACTAAGATGATATTTTGTGGCCTGTGCAGACATACAAAGGTCCCAAAGAGTGAAGGCTGCACATCTATTTTCACCACTAAAGAGGGTTGGTGGGTCCCTACATTTAGGTTATGAGCATGCAAGGTTTCCAACTATGCAAATTAATCACTATATCTCCCGTGCACCATAAATTATGTGGAGTCCCTTGATGCACACACAAGGACATATTAGCCCGTGCACAGAGGGGAAACCCTAGTGCTATGGCTCTGATGATGTCATTACTTATCCAATAAGATCCAGATTTTGTAAAATACCCTATTTTCTAGCAATAATCTTCACACCATTAGATGAACCTGGACTCACCTCTCCCCATTCTACATTTTTCGGTGGTAGAGGATAGTGTTCATGGATATCATAGGCAATTTCCTCCATGAACCATTTGAAACTTTTGCAGTTGTGGTCTTCTCTAAATTTCCTCAGTTCACTGATGTCTCCATAGGCCAAGGCTTTTGTTTCTGGACGACTGGCATAAAAGTAATCCTTGTATTCATCCCACCAGACTTCCACAACTCTGACATAGTTCTGTAATAGAACAGACAACATTTTTCAGCAGTCTGCATTTGTACCACTTGTAATGCTAGCATAAGGTCACAAAATTGGACTGGTCTGTTGTAGTACCATTTTGCACTTTGATCCCATTCTACACAAAGATCATTTGTCATACTCAAGATACACAGGGCCTCATATATCAATGAGTCACACATAGGGCCGCTGATGGGGATAGGGTACAGCTAGTCCTGTCATATTGGGCCTAGGCCCCATCAGGTCAGCAGAGGGTCCAGGTTCAGCTGCGAGTCCTACACCATTTAGTAATGTAAATGCACACTTTGTGGGTGGGTCAGGCTCCTCCACCCTTACCAAGATGCCCCAAGTTCCCAAGGGCATATATGCAATCTGTCCCAGATTCTGCAGGACAGCCCTGGTTTTTGCACACTGTCCCACAGTATCCCATAAAATTAGCAGTGTGCTGCATAATACAGTATATTTTCTGCCTCAGCAGCTAGCAAAAGTGACAGAAGAAAATTGGATGTGTATACACTATGTCCCTTAGGCTTCCCTACCTCAGCCATGCCCCCACCCGTTGTTGTGGAGAGCGCTCTGCAGGTACCCTTCTTGCAGCACTGAGTTAGTCTGCATTATACCTATCCTGGAGTCCCACCTCTGGTGGCCCCCCCATTGCTAGTCTCAAAGTTCTATGCTGCAACGCTGACAGGTCTAATGTGGTAAATATGTGGTATTCTTTTTATCCTGCTGTTAATAAGAAAAATGCATTCCATGCTATCATTTTCAACTTACAGCAACTTTATTTCCAATCCATTTATGTGTCACCCTAATATTACATTTTTATTGTGGTTATAATCCTGCAAATTAAATCAATACTCAGTTGCATGCTTCATTGCTTTAACTGGGTCGTACTGTTAATTATGCATTTTTACAGCTACTTTTGCCATTACTGTACTGTACATGTGGTAAATCTTGTGGATCTGTGCAGTAATAGCACAACAGATTTGTTTAGTATAGCAGTGATTACTCCACAGTAACATACATGATTTGAACTGCAGTCCATTGCATTGTTCTTGTAACAGTATACAGTTGTGACCAAAATTATTCAACCCCCAATGCTGTAAAGGGGTTTAGGGACTATAGTGTACATTTGGAATTGTATTCAGAATCAAATCCTACAAGGACGTTGTAACTACCCAAATGCAACTAAAATGACATCAATTGTTTATGTAATACAGTAGTAAATGGTTCTTATGTGGTTTCTTCATTGCCACAATTATTCAACCCCTTAAAGACTACCACTCTGAAGAACAGAGGTTCATACAGGTGCTTTCCATCAGGTATTGAAAACACCTGTGGATGTCACCGAGCAGCAATCAAGCATAATAAGCACCAATTAGGCAGCTTTAAAATGACTGTGATACTCAGCTCCTTCTAGACATTTACTGGTGTGGTTACAAACATGGTGAAGGCAAGAGAATGGTCCAGGAAGACAAGAGAAGAGGTGATTTCTCTTCACAGGAAGGGCAATGGCTATAAGAAGATTGCAAAGATGTTAAACATACCAAGAGACACCTTAGGAAGCATCATTCGCAAATTCAAGGCAAAGGGCACTGTTGAAACGCTACCTGGTCGTGGCAGAAAGAAGATGCTGACTTCGACTGCTGTGCGCTACCTGAAGCGTAGAGTGGAGAGAAGTCCCCGTGTGACTGCTGAGGAACTGAGAAAAGATTTGTCAGATGTGGGTACAGAAGTTTCAGCCCAGACAATAAGACGCACACTGCGTAATGAAGGCCTCCGTGCCAGAACTCCCAGGCGTACCCCCTTGCTGTCTCCAAAGAATAAGAAGAGTCGACTGCAGTATGCCAAAAGCCATGTGGACAAACACAAAAGTTGTGGGATAGTGTTCTGTGGACTGATGAAACAAAATTAGAACTGTTTGGGCCCATGGATCAACGCTATGTTTGGAGGAGGAAGAACAAGGCCTATGATGAAAAGAACACCTTGCCTACTGTGAAGCATGGTGGAGGGTCAATCATGCTTTGGGGCTGTTTTGCTTCTGCAGGTACAGGGAAGCTTCAGCGTGTGCAAGGTACCATGAATTCTCTTCAGTACCAGGAGATATTGGATGGAAACGTGATGCAGTCCGTCACACACCTGAGGCTTGGGAGACGTTGGACCTTTCAACAGGACAATGATCCCAAGCATACCTCCAAGTCCACTAGAGCATGGTTGCAGAGGAAAGGCTGGAACATTTTGGAGTGGCCATCGCAGTCACCAGACTTAAATCCGATTGAGAACCTCTGGTGGGACTTAAAGAAAGCAGTTGCAGTGCGCAAGCCTAAGAATGTGACTGAACTGGAGGCCTTTGCCCATGAAGAATGGGCGAAGATACCCGTAGATCGCTGCAAGACACTTGTGTCAAGCTATGCTTCACGTTTAAAAGCTGTTATAACTGTAAAAGGATGCTGTACTAAGTACTAAGATTGAATGTCACTTGGGGGTTGAATAAAACTGATAATGCTGTGAGCACAGAAAAGACATTTGTGGTTATTTCATTATAACTGTTATGTTATATTTGTCTGACCTACAAGTGCCTCTTTAATGTAAATGTAAGCAAGATGACTGAATGATCAAAAGCAATGTCAAACTGGCCAAAACACTCAATTTCAGTGGGGGTTGAATAATTTTGGTCACAACTGTAGTTCCCAGAGCCATAATCTGTCTAAAATACGTCAAGGTTAAAAGTATGACATTACAAGTCATACACCATCAATCAACACCTACTATTGACCATTCCAAAATTTTGTCATGTCCCATGTGAACCTAAAATGTGTGCTTTCTATCTACTTATCAAATGTGGGGAACTATGGAAGAGAATGCAGTGACAGTCTTCCTCACTGCCTGTTCAAGCTTGTCAGTCTTTGGCAATGCTGCATGCTGAGGGAGTAGGGGAGGAGGGAGTGTGGGCTCTGATTGGTCGGGGTGTCATCCATCAGACTTATACTGTCTCCTATTGTCTCAGTGAGCAACAGAGAGTGGCCAGGACAAGCAGAGGCCCAGTCCAGCAAGGAATCAGAGTGTGCCCGCCCCCCCACATTCTGGCCTCCACCTTATTGGCTGACCAGTGTTTGCCTTCTGTGCCCCCTTGAATGTTTGATCAAAGTCTCAGAATGTATTGGGATCTCCTCCTGCTTTCCCCGTATCAGCTGACTTAAGCTGTGGATGTGGTGGGGTCACCCCTGTGGTTCGAGCAGATGTCTGCACTGACATTTAGGTAATGCTATCTGTCCAGCCACCCCTGACTGATATCCATACTTACAGTACACCGACCACAATAAATAGCTTAGCATATCACAGATAAGTAAAAACTATTATGCTAGAAAAACACAGAAGAGTAGCCGGACACTCTATTGATCCTTGGGGTCAACATCTATGGATGGGGGCCCTGACCGGTAGGCTGTATAGGGCCTCATGATTTCTGATGGTGGCCCTGATTGCACTCAAACTCTCCATTCTCTGCCAATTTCCAGTGAAGATCTGAATCCAGCAGGTGGAAGCAGGGAACTCAGACAAATGACATATGACTGATACTTCATAAACAAGTCTCAGATTGCCCATAGTGTGCAATGGGATATTTTTGTATAGGAAAGAAGATGCCGCAAGAAACAAATACTAATACTGAAATGAACTATAAGAAATGCTGAAAATAAAGCAGCTGCAGCTTTCCCTAATGGACTTTGTTTTAGTTCATTAGTCAGGTATTATAATTAGCGCTGCTGCTGCTTTTAAGCCATTACAAAGAACACAGTTTGCATTTAAAGTAATGTCCTTTTCCCTTATAGAGTGTTAAGACAATGGCACCCATGGGACTTCTACTGGCTTATTTTAATATGGCCCGACCTACTTTGACAAGTAAGCCTTCATAGTGACAATCTCCTGTAGGGAAATAAAGGCTTTGTGGCCACTGTATTCCACATGTAGTCATATGACTGAACACTGACAGCCAACAGAGCTTGACTGTGGCAACGACAACTTTTTTTTGTTGAATCACTTTTCAAGAGTATGTAATTTATTTACAGTGGCCCTGTCAGTTGCTTTAAAAGAAAACTTAAAGGCTAAGTTCACCTTTGGGGAAAAAAAATAAATGAAAATATGCATTTATTATTTTATCGTTCAGGAGCCTGCAAACTATTGCACACGCGATCAGTGGATCAGGAATGCAATGTCAAGCTCCTGCAAACAAGCCCTGCTAAAAGCCTGTACCTCAAATATGGGCTGAGTGTTTACAAGCAACAGGGCTTGTGAATAAACTTTCAGAATGGGTATCAACACACCCACAGTTCATTGAGAACTACAAACCGTCACAATGGCTGACAGTACTTGTAGTTCTCTCATTCATATGAATGATGCGGCTGTGTGGGTGGAGCCCTGCACAGCCACACTATTTTCAAAATGTAACAGAGGGTACAGGGAGAAAATCCCCCAGCCATTGTCAGGCATCGGGGTTGCTGGGGGTAGGTATGGAGCATGTTACACACAAGCTATGGGTGTAACGTGTAACATGCTCTAAAGGTGAACATGTCCATCAAGGGCCAGTTCCCTGCAATAGAAAAGCTTTTATACGCACCTTTCGTACAGCCTGTGTCTCCTACTAGTGTTCAATTCACAAGCTTCAGACTCTGTCAAACTCTTCAGAATTCAATGCTTTTGGGAGCGTTTGAGGCCTATGTCCCCCACCATGTGCTGTGGATCCTCCATCCAACACCTACATATCACTACAGGACTCAGCAGTGATGCAGGTGTTAGAGGTTGGAAAACAGAAATCTGATACTCTTAAAAATGGTCAGATGCTGAGGAGTCTGACAGAGGACTGCAGAGCTTGAACAGAATGAAGGTGAGACACAGGCTGTTGGGAGAGGCGAGTAATATTGCAGGGAATTAGCCTTTCAGTTTTATTAAAGTTGAACTCTGGGCACAAAAACTCTCCTTTAAATAGATCTCGCAATAGCCAGAAAGGATATAAAATCACTCTGTGTGCACCAAATGATTTTGCAAACCCAATTATACCTTATAAAAGTAGTAGTGACATTATCACTTTGCTACTGTGCAGAGAGCAGAGCTGTCAGAGGGACCCAGAGCTCAACCCACTACAAACTGCCTGCAGAAAATAAATAAATAAATGCACAGTGTGATGGGTGGGCATGGAGTCTTTAGATTTGTAGTCTGCACTGCCTGACCAGAAGTTTGGGGAAGTGGCACTGTCCAACCTGAAGACTGTGGTGGCAAACTTGTAAACATCAAAGTACAGTATGTGGACATTGGGCACAAACATGAATCGCAAAATAGTGTGGGACATGTATTACTGCTTGCTTAAAATGTACTTTAAATGTAAGTTAAAAAACACTGAGCCTTTAGTACTACTTTAGGTACAAGAGACTTAAAAAGGAGCTCCAGTTCCCCCCCTCCAAAAAAACAAAAAGTAAAATTCAGCAGCTACAAATACTGTAGCTTCTGACTTTTTAAAAACACACTTACCTGTCCTAGGATCCAGTGATGTCCTAACCTGACATGGCTCTTTGCTGGTCTTCAGGTCCAGGTGCTGGCATCGTAACTGTGGGCATCCGACTATGACTCCTTGTGGTCTCACTGCTGGCTGCCCACTGTGCATGCATGAGCCGCACTGTGCTCCATGAATGGTCCCGCATTCTCTTGGGACCTGTGATGTGTCCCAAGAGGTTGTGGGGGAAGGAGGGGGAGCTGAGTTTTCGCTCAGATCGCCACGGCCTGTCAAAATCACGTACCCACTCATCCCCCAACACCACCACCAAAAAAAAGACATTCCAAAATGGGAGGGGGGAGGGGAAGAGGATCTTCCCTTTTAGGGTGATTTCCCCTTTAAATAGAAACTTCCAAAATTCAATATTTATACCATCAACTTTCTATTACTTGAATGAAGCTTTACAGACATACTCTGGAATTCATAAAGACTGAAGCAGACAGATTTTGCTAAAGTATCTCACATGCATTCTAAAAGTGGCGCAGCATACACCAAATTCATGTACCGGTCTAGAACTTCTACTTGAAACTCCTAGATTGTAAGCAGGGCCCTCTGTTTCCTCTTGTACCAAATTGCAGTGTAACTGTTATGTCTACCTTCATTTTGTAAAGCGCAGCGCAAACTGTTGGCGCTATATAAATCAGGTATAATAATAATTTGGCGCAGCATGCTGCACCACTTTCAGAACACATGCAAGACACTGCGCCGGGGTCTTTTTCTGTACACCAAAAGAGAGTTGCTCCTAACTAGCTCCACTTTCGTAATGGCCAGTATTTTATTTTGAATTTAGCGCATCATTGCACCACAATGGAAAAGTGGTGCATTTAAAGAATTCCTGACTTTGGCGCACAAGTTGCTTTCAGAAACAACAGTATTGCAGATGCTTCATGAATTTGGTGCAATACTTTAACAAGAGGGATTAATGCCAGAAAAGTGGAGCAGCAACTTTATTATAATACCCCACAGATCCATAAAACTCCAGGTTCAACAGGAATGTTGTCAGAATTCCTAACCTTTCCTCACTCTATTAAAAAATGTGCTCTTATTTTTCTCTCTGTCCCCGTTGGAGAGAACTTCCATTGATTCCTATTATAAAAGGAAGTAAGGGGAAATATATTTAAGAGGGACACAGATGGCAATAAAAAGTAAAAAGGGCTATAATGCCCTTTATTAAAGTGTAACAAAAGGCAAAACTTTTATTTTTAGTTTTGAACAGAGTGGAGATGGATTAGAACCCATCAGTTTTTATTGCCGTCTGTGCCCCCATTAGGGAGACTCCCCCTCTCGATTTATCCTGTTTATCTTTATTATTGAAAGTGAAAGTAAAAAGAAAATTCCAAATTTTGTGTTGTCCCCAGGAAAGTAATAGAGGGGAAATCTTCCAATAGAGACACTAGCTCTGGTGGCTTGGGGGTCCAGAAGGAATTCCCTTAATTTACAGGGATTTCCTCTCACTTCCTGTTTGGCTATGGGACAGGAAGTGAAGGGAAATCTCAGTAATGGAACACAGATGATGGAAAAAAAAAATCTGACAAGGATTATAATCCTCCCTTACTCTGTCCAAAATGAAAAAAAGCTTTGCCTATAGTTCTTCTTTAAAAACAAAATAAACCATTTTTGTTAAAATTGGGCTTTTTAAATTCCAAATTCTGCAATACACAGTAGTAAACCTGTTTTGTTTAAATCACATGAACAAAGCTTGTTAAGTAGAGAAATATTTCCCTGTCATACTGAGCTCATACATTAAGGAAAAAAAATCTGACATAAAATGGAAAGAAGTTTGGAGAGAATGTAAGAGGTCTGAAGTTTCTTATAATATTTGAAGCAGTATAAGCAAGCATCAAGCACAATTACCTGTGTTATATTCTCACTGGAACGACAAGTTATGGCAGGATAACTGTCTCTGGCTGAGGCTTTTATAGGAAATACATGTGGATTAAAAGAGATGCTCAATTATCCTGCCACAACCTGTCATGCCTTTGAGAACCATTTCAACTTTGCTAAACAAACACAAAGTAGAAACTGCACAATCCAGTAAACATCGGGACACAAATCCAACCAGAGGCTGATGAAGACACAAGAACAGGCACAGATCTTTCATATATTTCTATTGATTCATTTGTTTATGACATACAAAACCTCACAGAATGGTTTATTGCATGTATGAAGTAGTGTGAATGTGGCCGATTCTGTTCATTTTAGAGCAAAAACTGACTATATAGCAGGTACTTCTTTATCTTACAGTGGACCTTGCTTGAAAATAAAGGGTATTCTTCTATTGTGGCTCCCTCCCCATAAGAATAACTAAGTAAAACAAATTGGAGTTAAAAAAAAAAAAATTATTGGTGAGAAGATCACTTGAAGAATATTGTTGAATAAGGAACTTTGCACATGGAGATATTCTAGCGCTGTGAATAAGGACTATCATTCTGCGTAAGATGTGCCATTTGTGTGCAAGATATAATGGAAGGAGTGCCCATAGACATATTACTTACAATGGTGTCATGCCAATAGCTGGTTGTATGCAATGCTTTCATTCCAAAAATATTCTGCAATTTAACAAGACTTTTGTGCTTTTTAATAATTCATACCTTGCTGTATATGTATAAAAAAACTAACCTTCAGTGTTGGCGATGATCCCACGTAGACGGGGGGAGGGTTTCCTTGCCACCCTTGTAAGCGATAGATGTGCCCCACACGTGAACAAGGTGTAAACAACAACTTTCCTCCACACTGCCAGATCTAAAGGCAAAATGTACCTGTTTAAAAGATCATTCAGGACAACCTACAATATATATAACATTAATTGTAAATGTAATGTACATTGCCACATATCGTTAAGCAGCTTGCATCTTTTTCTTACTTAGTTACACCTGATTTATGTGCACTGCTGATATATGTTTGCTGAGGAATGGAATGGCCTGTACAGGATGTCCCTAAAGTCTGGACACATAGGAAATACAGTATCACTATATGTGTATGAATATTACTATACAAGCTCACCAGACCTTAACTCACTTGACTTCATTTTTGGGGTATGCTAAAGGAGAAGGTGTACTCAATGAAAATCAAGAGATATGAATCACCTGAAGAAAAGCATTATGAACGAATGTGCTCAAATTGATGGAAATGTGGAGTTACTGTATTGGGTTCGTGTAAATTATTATTTTTTTATTATTATTCAGGACTTATATAGCGCCAACAGTTTGCTCAGTGCTTTACATTATGGAGGGAGACAGTACAGTAACAATACAGTTCAATACAAGAGGGATTAGAGGGCCCTGCTCCTTGGAGCTTACAATCTAGGAGGGAGGGGATAGTGGTACAAAAGGTAATTAGCTGTGGGGGATGGAGTGGTAGGAGGAGTAGTGGATTCCTGTATTAGCTGGGGGCGGGGTAGGCTTCCCCGAAGAGATGGGTTTTCAGAGTGCGCCTAAAGGTGAGCAGAGTAGGCGATAGCCTGATAGCTTGGGGCAGGGAGTTCCAGAGGATGGGTGAAGCCCTTGAGAAATCCTGGAGACGAGCATGGGAGGAGGAGACAAGGGAGCTAGAGAGTAGGAGGTCTTCGAGGAGCGGAGACTACGGTTTGGGTGGTATTTAGATACAAGGTCGGTGATGTAATTAGGGGCAGTGTTATAAACGGCTTTATGCGTCAGTGTTAGTGTTTTGAATTTTATCCGTTGGGCAATTGGAAGCCAGTGGAGGGATTGGCAGAGAGGGGTGGCAGATATAGAGCAGTTAGTAAGGTGAATGAGTCTGGCAGCAGCAGCATTCATGATGGACTGTAGTGGGGATAGCCTGCGGTGAGGTAGGCCAGTGAGAAGGGAGTTACAGTAGTCAAGGCGTGATATAATAAGGGAGTGAATGAGTTGCTTAGTGGTTTCCGAGGTTAGGAACGGTCGTATCTTGGAGATGTTGCGGAGGTGAAGTCTACATGAGTTTGTCAATGATTGGACCTGGGGCTGAAAGGACAGATTGGAGTCTAGGATTACACCTAGTACCCTGGCGTGAGGGGTGGGGCTGATGGTAGTGTTGTTGATCTTGATGGAGAAGTCGGGGGGGGGGGGGGGCACGGGCTGGGGGGAATACTAGAAGTTCAGTTTTGGAAAGGTTGAGTTTGAGGAAGTGGAGTGACATCCAGTCCGATATGTCACTTAGTAGGCTGGTAAATCTTGTAGAGCACATGGAACTTTGCATCACAAGAAAATATGCATTTTTCCTATGTGTTCAGACTTTAGGGGACACCCTATATGGTTGATACAATCATACATGGACTCAATTAGTGCATGTTTAAACAAGCTATTCAATTATTTCTGGGGAGTTACATCATCAGCCGTTCTTGGCTAGTCCTAATGAACCAGACAAAACTCAGTCAGTAGGTAGCCCTGTTGTCACCCTCTGCCCGAGAGTCTTTGATTGAAAAATCAAAGGAGCGGGGTGGAAAATTGGCAGCCGAATAATGCCTGTATTCAGCCAGATATAGGACCATTTTCAGTATTCTGACAGCCAGTGGCGCCAGTTGTCTGAATACAGCAGCTACAGAAGGGGATTCCTCAATCTGTGCTGTTTAGTGTACATAAAGATAACTGTTAGATTTCTTTTGTTCAACCAGCAGGCTGAGAGAAATAGATCTACAAATGTATGGCCAGCTAAGCAAACCATACAGTTGTGCTCAAAAGTTTACATACCCTGGCAGAAATAGTGACCTTTTGGCATTGATATTGAAAATATGACTGATCATGCCAAAAAAAGCTCTTTTATTGAAGGACGATGGTCATATGAAGCCATTTATTATCAAATAGTAGTTTGTCTCCTTTTTAAATCATAATGATAACAGAAATCACCCAGGTGGCCCGGATCAAAAGTTTACATACCCTGGAATGTTTGGCCTTGGTACAGACACACATGGGTTAAAATGCCAATTAGAGGTAAATGTCCACATCTGTGGCTTTTTAAATTGCAATTAGTGTCAGTGTATAAATAGTCAATGAGTTTGTTAGCTCTTACATGGAAGCACTGACTAGGCTAGATACTGAGCCATGGGGATCAGAAAAGAGCTGTCAAAAGTCCTGCGTAACAAGGTAATGGAACTTTATGAAGATGGAAAAGGACATAAAAAGATGTCTAAAGCCTTGAATATGCCAATCAGTACTGTTAAATCACCTATTAAGAAGTGGAAGGTTTGGGTATCTCGATACCAAGCCAAGGTCAGGTAGGCCAAGAAAGATTGCAGCCATAACTGACAGAAGAGTCCAGGATTCAAAGAAAAACCCACAGGCAACTTCAAAAGAAAAACAGGCTGCTCTAGAAAAAGATGGTGTGATTGTTTTTAAGGCGTACAATACGGTGATACTTGAACAAAAATGAGCTGTTTGGTCGAGGTGCCAGAAAGAAGCTTTTACTGCACCAACTCATTGACTATTTATACACTGACATTAATTGCAATTTAAAAAAGCCACAGATGTGGGACATTAACCTCTAATTGGCATTTTAACCCGTGTGTGTCATCTTGTGTGTCTGTACCAAGGCCAAACATTCCAGGGTATGTAAACTTTTGATCATGGCCATTTTGGGTGATTTCTGTTATCATTATGATTTAAAAAGGAGACAAACAACTATTTGATAATAAATGGCTTCATATGATCATCATCCTTCAATAAAAGAGCATTTTTTGGCACGATCAGTCATATTTTCAATATCAAAGCTAAAATTTCACAATTTCTGCCAGGGTATGTAAACTTTTGAGCACAACTGTACATAGACCAATTATTGACAAAGTCAATTTAGGTCTACCTATAGCAGTTCTGTGAATGTGATACTCCTGATTTCCTCACTTATTTAGTTGGTAAGGATACCAATTACCATTGTACACAGCCTGTTGGAACACATTCTCTTGATTAGCACCACCAGGTATAGCCGGTGGTGCTGATCAGTGTATTCTGACGGTGGGGAAGTTTCCCCACCGTCAGAATACAATAGCGCAGCAATGGGAGTGAATCCCCCATCCACATCAAATGTGTAGAATGGGGAGTTAAGTCATTTTCTTTCGTTCAACCTGCTGGTTGAACAAAAGAAAAATGACTCATGTATGGACAGTCTTAGGAGCAAATACTGATTGGCAAAATTGATATTTATCAGAAAAAAAGGCTTCTAAAAAAGAAGGTAATCTCAATCATTTAGATCATTCATAAGTCATTATCCACACATCTACAGTCTTGCAGCAAACATCAGCATATTTTATTTGACTCTTTCATGTGCCACTGAGATGCATACAGAGCATGCAGCTCTATACAAATAAGTGATATGCAGTGGATTTCAATAGTTTCATTGAGACAGGTCTACACTCCTATAGAGGGACCCCATTGATCCTACAGGGAAGGAGTAGATTACAAGTACTGATTTCACCTGCCATTACAATAAACTAAGAAGCCTCAATTACAGATTTCCCCACACTTCTAGTGTGCTGATGGAAAACAGACAATAGAACAGCTTGTGGTTATTTGCATACAGGAAAGGTTGCTCTTGTTGATTGCCAGTTTCTTGATTGTTTTCTTTTTCTTCACACAACACAAATGCAAATAATTAATTGTGGTTTAAAACTAGACTGACTATTGTAGACTCCTTTAAGTGATTGGAACTCAAATTCCTAGTGGGAACACATAAGAAACACAAACATTGCTAAGCACAAATGGAAACCTCATCTGCACAGCTAGTATGCCTCTTCCTCTTCATAGTGTTAGATATGTCACTGATCCCCAGAACAAGGTTGGCTACATAAACATAGGCAACAAAAGGTGCCTATAGACATTAGATGATAGAGTCATAGGGCACTTTACAGCAAAGCCACTAATTGGATCCCAGCCATTCAGACATCCCCAGCTTGGCTGCTCATACTCATAAGGGAATATGACTGATTTCTATTATAAGTGTGGTGTTTAGGTTTTGGATACAGAGGGTTAGCAGGTTTTGGATACAGAGGGTTAGCAGGTTTTGGATACAGAAGGTTAGCCATGCTGTGCCCTAATCCCAATTTTGTTTTACATTAAGGTTATGGATAGCATCAGGTTTAGGTTCTGATATAGATTTAGGGGTTGAAATAAGTTCTGTTTGGTGGAAGGCTTAGGATTTAGGTTAGAAAAATTGTATTCAAAGTATATTGTATGTTGACCCTGTCTAATGAAAACACTATTTGCCTTGCTTATCATGCTGAACCATTGCTTTGTTTGAGACACAAACCTCAAACACGTTTGCAAAATCAAAAGTTTTGATTATTATTATTTAGAATTTATATTGCACCAACAATTTGCACAGAGATATACAATATAAACAAAGACATTACAGTTACAATGCAAATCAACAAGAGGGTAGGAGAGTCCTGCTTGGCATAGCTTACAATATAAAAGGGTTCTGATTCACCCCAACCTACATCCTTGTTTCAGAGACAGACAGCCATCAAACATTTTCAGAAGAGGGTCAGTAATATTAGCTCTAAAATTTACCGCACCCAAAATGACCACATCCACATTTATTACATAGTTACATAGTTAGTCTGGCTGAAAAAAAGACAAAAGTCCATCCAGTTCAACCATTAAAAAAAAAAAAAAGTTATAATCTTACACCCACAGTCGGTCCAAAGGAAGGCAAAAAAAAACCAGCAAAGCATGATCCAATTTGCTCCTGCAGGGGAAAAAATTCCTTCCTGATCCCCCGAGAGGCAATCGGATATTCCCTGGATCAACTTT